AAAATTCCAACCCAGTGCTTCTACGTGTCGTACGCGTCACCCACAGACGACGGCCCCGGGGCAGACGTGTAAGCCTGAGCAATCGCGGCCACGGGAAAATGTTGGGGCCACGACGAGGCAGCGGGCCAGGCGGCGCAGCAGGGGCCAGCGGCGTCCCTCCTAATGAAGCTGGCGTGCTATGCCCGCGCTCTCTGCTGTGTGCGACGCGGCAGGATTGAGCAGCCGGCCGCCCTTCCTCCCCCATTTCTGCTGCCCTCCACTTGACCCCTTCGCTGCCATGCACGCTCAACACCTCATTCCAACCCTAAAGGTACTTCTTTGACTATGGCGTCGTGTGCTGCTGGTGAGCAGCCCCCTGGCTGGCCCCGCCTTGCCAGCGCGCGAGCGCCCCGACCCAGCTTGAGGCCAGCGACGACGGATTGCATCACGCATGCTGGGATTGCTCAACCGCAGTGCCCCACAGCGGTTGACCGGCGTTCGAGTCTCAACACATGCGCATCCATGCATATCCTCGATACGCGCCCTCAGCATGCCACCATGCCACCCCTATCCCCTGCTCCCAGGGGCCTGGATGCCGCCCAGGAGACGAGTGTGATCCGCAACATCGCGCGATACGCCCACAGCCAGGCCATTGAGGCGGATGAGATGGAGATTGACCAGGTGGGGCCTTGGGGGTAGCGCTTGGCGGTGGCAGGGATGGTGGATGGGTTGAGGAGGCAGCGGGCCAGGTGCTGGAGTTGCTGACCGTGGAAATTAACATCTTTTTTTGGGGGGGGGGCGCACCATCATGCACAGCCGGCACCATCATGCACAGTCTCACCACCTCATGCGCAGCCTGGCCCCTTGCAATTCAACACTACCGCTCGCCCCGCTGTAACCCTCCACGCACACCCCCACGCCCCGGCCACCCGGACTGCCCTCAGTTTGAGTTCAACGTGACGAGTGCCGAGAAGCCCCACATCCAGAACGACGTCGTCACACTGCACCGCAGGTCAGCGCCCTCAGTCATCGCCCCCGCGTGTGGTATTCTGGGACTGAGATATCACGTTGATGACGTGCTAACTCATTGTTGCGCACGTATGTGCAAACGCATGGGCGAAGGGGCTGCGCCAAGCCCATCCTTGGCGGGCCCTGCTCTGTACTTTGCCCGCTCCCGCGCCCACGAGCCATGCGCCGGCAGCATCCAGACCTCTTGACTGGCATTGACTCATATTCTGTGCTGCCCCCGCCCTGTCCCCCAGGGCGGCCAAAGACCACCGTGTCAAGCTGGCCATATCCTACGCACTCAGCCAGGTGGGCCAAAAAACGTTGGGCTGGGAACAGGGGGCTCAAGGCCGCGTGCAGCGTTCAGCCGTGCCTGCAGCACATCATTCGTTCGCGGCGCTGCAGCTGGGGGCGCGGCCTCTGAAACCCGGTGCCCTGGCCAGCGCTGCCCACTGTGGCCCGCCCTCTCAGCGCCCGAATCCAGAGCGACCCGCCTGCAACACACATGAGTGATGCAAGCCCTGCAAGACCCCCGCGCTCTCTCCCTCTCTTGACCCCCCCCCAACCAGTCCACCAAGCTGTCGCTGTACGAGCGCCGCGTGGTGGACACGGTGCTCGAGACGAAGCACCTGCCAGAACAGCTGGCGGCCACGGGGCAGGTGCGGCAGGACGGGTCTGGGGCACGGCCGGCGCGCCTGGGGGCGTGCATGGCCGCCTGGGGCGCTGCGTCGCAACCACCAGGGGTCACCCGCATATTCCTGGATTGTGTATGTGGACTGCACCAGCACCCTATCGCCACCCTGCGGTCTTATAACCTCCTGCGGTCCCATAACCTCCTTCCAGGTCAACTGCTTGCCTGCTGTTTGAGAATCAGGGATCTTGCTCCAACCCCCGTACCCGGCCACCCCTTTTCTGTCCCCCCAAAGGTATCCCTTGAGCCGGACGACCTGGCACGTCTCATCGGGAAGGTGTTCCTCCAGAGGCAAGTCACGCAATGCACGCAAGCGGCCACGCAAGGCATCGCATGCGCCCTAATGCCTGCATACGTGTTCATAGCTATGCTGCTGTTGCGCCTTCTTCATGCCTGCCGCACCCATCGCTTCCGTCAAAAGCCGGTCCGAACCTCATCCGGCGGCACCGAGCACGCCTGCCGCATGGGGAGGCCGTCCCACGCCGCCGCCTCACACTTGCTCACGGCCCCGAACGGCTCCCCGCGTTCCCCGCCCCCCCCCCCCCCCAA